ACTGCAGATGATAGACTTGTTTAGAGGGCTTGAGCTGAATATGTGGTCAGTGGAACTGATCACATAGGGGGAGTGCGTGTGAGAATTTCATGCATCCCTACTTATCCAATTCTCAAATGGAAATACTTCCACTTTTGCTTTGACTACTACCCAACGGGTGTAGTCCAGACTACTACCCTCCGGGTGTAGTCTAGGAATCTTGAAGAACCTGCATCTGGGCCGGACCGAAGCCCTTTAGATGTCAAGTGGCACAAAGGTGCGTCAGCTGGCAGCGAGGTGGCTGCTTGGAGTTTTGGGGAAACCTGGTTTTGTTTTTTGGGTTGAAACATTCTTTTTCCGGTTGGAGTCGAGATCTCAGTTGCTGTTCAGGGTTCCAGGACGGTTCACTTGTTGGCATTGGGAGGCTTCAGGAAACACAAAAACTATTTGGAACTTCAATCCAATCCATTCCTGATAAAACAGGTTTATGAAATAGGGCTTGCCATATTACCCAGATTTTGCAGCACTTGTAGACTTGGGACATTGCGAGATTGCCGTGCGATACGAAACCAAGCCTCCTCATCGCAGCCGTGCAGTTTAACCCTTCATCAACCACACAGTCGTTCAAATTTGGCACGCAAGCAATGGAAATCATCCCTAGCAAAAAATGCGCAAAATCTTTGTCCGAATGACTTTCAGCTCATGAACAATTTCCCAAACTATCCGGGTATTTGTTTCATCTATATAACAATCAAATTTAGGTATTCATATCAAAACCATGTCCCAACTATCCATGCATGATAATCTCATACACTCACATCATCCCAACTCTTTCCATACAAAAACTGGGCTAGTATACCCATTATGACTTGGGACTCTTACAATTTTTTTACCATCTTTTTCACAGTACTTGGAGGGTCTAAGGTGCCTTGAATTCCACTTGTTGCTGAACATCCCATTAAATCTCCACTCATTTTCAGTGAATTCCCCCTAAGACCCCCATTCTTCATGGAAAAAATATCAATATGGGTCAACATGATCAAGCAAGATGGGATCCATTACCATCCCAACTAATCTAGTTAATTATTCTGTTTTGAGGACATTGGGCAGGGTCTTGATCCTTTCCCATGGTGGTACAACCCATGAACCGATGCCCCCAGCTGCAGGGCCTCTCAGACTCATCCGAATCAGCTGTGGCCGTGGTGCCAGGGCGTACCCGATCCTGTAGCCGTCTGGAAAGACGGATTTCATGGGAAAACATTCTCTACAATTGATTCTGCAAGTTGAGATGTTTAACTGTTTAATGATGTTTATGGGAAAATCATCTGATGTGGAAACCAATGGGACAATAAGCTTTAAGATTGGATTGCATGGATCTGGATGTGTCTGAAACTGCAAAATGGTTGGGCCCAAAATTTGAGCAAGCTCAAGGAGAAAAGCACCATATTTTCAAAGAACCTCACTTAGTAAGTAGTTGGTAAGTGAGGTTAAAGGAGAAGTATGGACAAGCCCAAGGAGAAGTATGGACAAACCCAATTGGGGGAATTTATTTCAGCAACCAGGTGATTAGCCAGTTTCCAAGGTGATCCTCCAAGCCAGTGGTTCAACAGAAACGGTTATAACGGCCAAACTCTTGACATAACTCAGGGAACTATAGCTACCTCCGCTCAAGTACCAGCCATGTACTCTAGTGTGTATTGCGCAACGTGCAGTTGTTTTTTGGTGTAAATGAGGGTTATAAGTACAGTACCTACAGGGACGGCTTGTGTGTAAGATGAACTCATTCAGCGAAGGAAGTTCTACTTTTACAATGGAACACTTGTTTGGCTCTCTGTTAAAGCAGTACCTTGCGACAGTGCAGTTCTTGATAGCTTTGGAAACCTTTGGGATATTTAAAATGTAATGCAATACTGGGTACAGCATAGCAAACAAACCCGGTGCAATGTCAGCAAACTAAGCTTGAAAGATTGGCAATACTCAAAGAGGTCTGCCCAACAGATCAGAGTTGGATAGATCGAATATTTGATTAGTTACAAATAAATAGCTTTGACATGTGCCTGACTTTACTAAATCTGCGCACATGATCGCAATCAACTTTATTTGCGGACGCCATTATTTTGTCTGGTTACTCGTCCATACATCCGCAGAAATACATTCATCCCACCCACATTGTCGTACCTTGCCATGTCTGGGAGAAATCATGATTCACCCGTGGATTTAGGGGTTTTCAAACAAATCCATACAAAGTGGAATCCCGAAAAGATAGACTCAAAAGATGGGTAAATTAGCCAATTAGCTTATAATTTGTGCTGTAACTGCAGCTGGATGGAACACATATAAAACTTAGGCCCACTTTGTACTTGCACGCACATCCCAGTTGGTAAATGGCATATGTAACCCATGTAATTATAAGTGATGGTATTCATGGATATCCATCCTTTATATAAATGACTATAAACATTTAGATGTTTTCCAAAACGGGTGTACCCCCAAATCATCCAAGTCATGAATTACCATGACTTATAGTACTGAAACAACCATGGTGACTTTGGGATTCTCCATGGCTTCAGAACCCCTCCAAATTTTACAGATGCTTATTCCATAGGTTGGCTGGTTCATCCCCATGTCCAGACACACCCAAGCTCAGATTAGTTGGTTCTACATCCCATTAAATCTTCATTAAACATCATTAAAACATACCCTCGGGTAACTTAAAATAACTATTGAAAATGGCCATTTATAGTTGATTTACCCATAAAACATGGTGATTTTCCACAGCTATGTTAGTTTACCAGAGGATAGATTCTTAAATCTCCAATATAAACATCACTGGTTGGTGGTTTCAACCCCTCTGAAAAATATTAGTCAGTTGGGATGATTTTTCCCAATATATTAAAAAATAAAAAAGGACCCAAACCACCAACCAGATCACTATAGACTGGCCCCATGACATCCCCATCCAACCCTCACCTGAGGCCGTGCAAAGATTCCTTCCGTGGCCCTTGGCAGCTCTGGCGGTACAGTCCTGGGAGATGTTTCGGACTGGGTGGACAGCCAAACTGCAAGATATGCGGAAACACATGATTTTAAGAAGTTTAATGGAATTGAATGGATATTAATTCGGATTTGAGGAAGATGAATTGAACATTAATTATTGGAGAATAGTAGGGATTTACTGAGATGTTCAGCAACAAGTGGGAGTTGAAGGCACCTTAGACCCTCCAAGTACCCATAAAGGGTGACAGTCCCAAAATAATGTGTATATCACCCATTTGTCCAAGGTACTTGGAGAATCTAGGGTGATGTGAGGAAAACACATCTGACAATGGCATCCCCTGATCGTATGAAATAGCCCATCTAAATTGTGCCCCTACATGATGCGATTCAGTACTTAGCAAAAGGGGTCCAGGGAGTATTTAAAATTAGTGCACTTAAGTGACTTAAGCAAGAAACATCAGATTTAGCCAGCAAACATTGGGATCTGATTAACAACATTTCGGTTTTACTGTAAACAACTAACTAACTAATGTTATTTTGATGAACAACAATGGAGGAGTTTGCCCAGCAAACTTTCCTCATTTAGATGCTCTGTGGTTCGGGGATGATACCCATCCATCATCTATAGTGATGGTTGGGTCATGGCGATGTCGCTCTCATGTATACATGGATATTAAACCACAATCATGATGATTTATACTGTCGGTTTTGAAATGCCAAACAACCCCTCTGGAATGTTCAGCTGAGGGCTTGCAATTCAAGAGGAAATGGCGTGGGACCCCCCCTTGTCAATCATCTAGTGATATGAATCGGGGTTAACTTCCAACCAAACAGTTTGAAAGTAACACATAGGTGAGACCATCACACTTTCTATTGCCAAATTGTGTCAATAAAAGAAGAAACCATCCAAGTCTGGCGAAGTTCATGACAATTCTCCCAAAAAAGCATCAGCCGTCATCCACATCGCCATGGAAAATCCGGATCATCCTACGGATCGTAGGTAGTTACAGTAATATTCTTGGTTCCCCTAAAAAAGTGGATTATCCCATTTATGAATTGGCCATACAATGTCAGGTCCCCTAGATAGCTAAGTTGGTTTATGATTCCAACAACTAGTGTGTATGATACTTTGAACTAAAGTACTCAGTTTAGAAACCAACAAACATCATATTTAAGATTCCACATAGGTATGAACCAGTCTGAAACTGGAAGACCTGCAGCCACACGAAAAAATGGTGTCCTCACAGGTGGTGACTCTGCAGGAATTGGCGACCAGTTGGGATTCACGTTCCTCCCACGGCGGTTGCAACCCTGAAAATAGCCTGTGTTCGTTGTTGTTCAAAAGCCTAAATATCAAATCTTATGTGCATATATATATATACCGGAACCAAGCTTTAGCATCTCTTGCTGGTATTTACAATAAAGAAACCTTTTATTTTGGTGTTCATATGCCCGTATAGATAGGTTCTCTATATATCTCTATATATACCATAAAGTTCATACTTACGAATGAATAATCCCTTGTCGGGAATGAACCTTTAAAGATCACAGGTACTGGACCAACTGATGCCAACTGCCAGCTCCGTCAGGAAGCAGCTCATAACTGACGGCTAGTTTATGGATAATTAATGGATAATGAAGGTGCTCAACCATATGGATAATACAAACAAGATCAAACAAGATGAGTGTCAAAGACAATCACTCTGAAATACTCTGAAAGTGGGGAATTTGGTGTAACCTCCTTATGGCCACTGAATCATGGGAAATGGATCCACCAAATTAGGAGTACTGAACGATAATTATCATGGTATTCCACCATCAACTTTGAGTGGCACTTTGAGCAATTCCCAGCAGAGAAAAAAACACAACGCAGAAAAGATACGCTTGGATGCGTGGTCTACTCAGTAGGTGGTTCACAACCATATGGCACTGTACCCCAAATAGATTCCATATGGTCTATTACCTATTATAAACTGGGATGCACATCCAAACACTCCTTCGTTCTGTCCGAAAATAGTGTCCTTCTAACCTAAAATCCCGTGCTCATCATTTTCCCTTTTATCGTTCATGGTTGGGAGCTCCCATTTTTCGGGACCACCCCACGTGCCACGTGCCATGCCGAGGGTCCTGCTGATCGGCGCCTCATCATCTGCCGCCCGGGACCGGGGAGAGCTCGGCGGCAGGGTACTGGCCCAAAAGCTGCAACCGCCGAGTGGTGTATACATCACTCCCATAGCTGTTGGATTTTTGAATATTGATGATTACCGATGCTGTTTTATGATGATATTGTGTGATATTTTGTATATATAATTAATTATAACTATAGATATGTTATTATTATAGTGTTCTAAATGGTTCTATTGTTGGAACTACCAACCTTTCGAATTGATGTGCTCGTCTCGCATGTGTGCTCTGTTGTAGTTCAAGATTATCAGACTAAAAAAACAAATTGGCCCGAAATTGTTACTAAAACTAAAACAACATTGTATCAGAACAACTGTATGATATCAAAAGTGTAGCAAAGTATTGGAAGACGTACCATCAGCTGCGTGGAGGATCTTGGTGTTCATGCAGAATAAAGCACTAATTTCAGCTAACGCCAGCCAAGATCTGTACAGCTCTTCGAGATTCAAGACAAGGTGTTGAAATACAGGGGTGAGCATCCTTCAAAAATAAAGAACAAAACTGTTTTGCATATGTTTGGGTTACAGCATACATTGCAAGGATAAAACCAGGACAGACTCTCGGAGAGAGTCTAAACCTGCTGCAATCTACCCCAACATGACTTTGGCTCAACATGTGGCCAATGAAACCACCAATCTAGTCGCTTCAATAGAATACCATCCAAATCCATCCAAGTTTTGGGTTTACATGACAGCTACCACCTAGCGACCAAACATCGCAATGGAACATCTTCCATGTCTAGATAAATAACGAGAAGGTATGAGGCATTCAAAAACTCACAGATCTGATGGCAATCATTTGCCTATACTTTTAAAAAAGCAGTTCCAATGAACTGAGTAGATATATACCGTATATAACCATACTATATCCATCCATATCCCAATTTATGAAGGTTTGAAATCATGGTTATTTTAAAAAAATATTTATACTTCATCTGCCCCCCCCAGCTATACCCGCACCCGTCCACGTCCTGACAGGGGGTGACTCTGCCGGTATCGGCGATGACTGAATGCGTTGAGGAAAGCTGGGCGGGAGCTTCCTGGTGTGGAAAGCGATGTGGCAACCATCAACAAATGTGCTGAGGGTATCTACCTAGACCCTCCAAGTATTCCTTGGAGAATGAGACAATATAATCGACCATTATTTCAGCATATTTCAGCTATTTTTATGGCTACCTAGTGTCAGGGTCTAAGTAGAGGTTTCTTTGTGTTTCTCATGTTCGTTTTGCTCATATAAAACGCGTTTCCAGACAAAATTGAGCTGTCTGAGCGTTTGACGCAACAACAGTGTGAGACATGAGATGCAAAAACAAAAGACACAAATATGTCTATCTTCGGTGGAGGAAACGCGCTACTGTGTCACCAAGAACCACCCCCGTCTAAGCTGCACAAGAACAAACACTGTTTGCTGATTTTTAGTCCGTTTGATCGATTTTGGTTCGATTTGGAGTGTGTTCGAATCCGTCTTTTTAGTGCATAACAATGCTTGTGCAACTCACACTATTTGCAGTGACATTTCTTGGATAGATAGCCAAAGCGTACGACCCGATTCAATTCAATTACAAACCTGACATGGGTAAAAACAAGTCAACAAACAATGCACACAGGAATGCATCTAGGTCAATCGCCACTTTTTTGAGTGACCGTGTAAAACCGATTACTCAACAACCTAAACAAACAGTTTTTTTTGAGCGTTGGAAGATCCAGGATATTGCAAACACATAATATGACGTCATATTGAAAAACGGATCTAGGTAGTTCCGCAATTGCGACATCGAAAATCCAACGCACAAATTTTGAGACTAGCTTTTGGCTGGGCAATTTCTTGCACACAAGACATACGACTAAAAACGAACACCACTTTGCAATGAACAGATCATGCACTCATTGGCATGCCGGTCCTGACAGCTGGTTTCTCATCTTCATGTTCCCCCGACGGACTGGAAGCAACCCCAATACGTTGCGGAGTGCTTGGCGGCAGGTTCCTGCAATCAAATGCCATGCGCCAGGAAAAACACAATGTGGCATATACAAACTACAGTGGCTTTGGAAACAGTGACAGACCAGGTTAGAGTTGACCGGAACTGCAGCAGCAGGTGCTTATTTTTGTCACAAGACGCAACGCTATGTCTGCGGCAACTTTAGGCAATGAGGAACATCTGTGCAACCGCGAGTCCAGAGCAAACCAAATCAATATGTGAACGAAAGCTGCAAAAGCCACAAACACAGCGCATTGCGATTGCAGACAAGCACCTCTAATACTTCAAGATCTGCATGCAAAGACCTGTTTCAAAATTTCATTGCAAGTTCTTCTCACAAAGGCCTGAACAAAATTTTGGTCAATCTCGCCATACACCAGGAAACCTCAGAGAATCTCTAAGATTGGCAAAGAGGGACCAGCTAGAGAGGATCTTACAAGATCGTTTCGCAAGAACCTCTTAAGAGCATCCCACCGAAGCTTTCATACAAGCGCATCTAATAAATAACATCTTCAAACATCTTCAATATCTTCATTCATGCAAGGACTTTCACAAGGACATCTACTAGACCTTGGTCAAGATCTTCACTCAAACCGTGGATCTCTCAGAGAATCTCACGAGATGCGTCCTATACAATGTCTTTATACAACCACCTCCTAAGAGCATCCCAGAAGAGCTTTCGTACAAACACCCGCTACTACAGGGTATCTCCAAGATCATCATGCAAGATCGCGCAAGGACATCATACAGAGCACTTCACTAGGATGTGCTAGAACATCCACAAGGTCTTCCAACAAGGACGTGTACAAGATCATGCAAGTAGAGGATCCTCTCACAGAGACTTCTACAATACCTTCGTCAAGATCTGCATATGAGGGGCCCACTATGAAACTCTCGCAAGATCCTAATAGAAGGATCTTCCAGAGAAACCATAGTTCATAAGGCCTCTGTGAGAAGCAGCTAACAATGTTAGCACCGCACCACAACGAGAGCGATCCGACACGCACAAAGTGCTGAGAAGGTTGTGAAAGCCATATCAAACTGAGCACCGTGCCACAACAGGAGCCGTCCAAGGCGCACAAAGTGACGAGAGGCCTGGGCGAGCTATATGGAAAAAACACCGCGGCAAAAAGTTCGCGATCTCACACGCACAAAATGACGAGAACGTTTGCACGTGCGATATCAAAATGAGCACCGCGCCGGCACATCGAGAGTGGTTCAACATGCACAAAGACAGATGTGCGAACACATGTTTCAATGTAAGTTTATACTCCACCACGCACACCAGAAAAAGTTAAATTTGATGAAACTGGGAAAAAGGATGTTTTACCTAGGCATCCGAACTCATGCGCCTGCCCGGTAAATTATCATCATGCACCAAACCCAAAAGCGACGGTGATAACCTCAAAAAACGAACGTTTCCAGCCTTTCAGAATTTCATGCAAATCATCATCGGAGTTTACAAAAAAAACAAAAACAAAATGTGCCTGCCACGAAATGAGGACATCCGCAACCACCTCTCAGTTCGACCCATGCCTGCCAACATTTTAGCAACATGCACGAAGTACTGCGCCTGCTACACGGATGGAAAAGTGTCGAAAGTCTTGCCCTTGTCACACAGAACGACGTTCCAGACCTCAAAATTCCTGCCACAAAAAAGGACCCCTTAGTCCTTAAAAAAAAGTTCCCCCCCCATATTTTGGGACTTACGCCCCTTTGTCCCTTTTTTAAAACACGTTATTTTGCCATTTTGTTACAACTTTCAAGAAACACATTTATTTTTTGTAACTTTTGGCGCTTTCATTGTTTTGGGACATATTAGACTCGACATATTCATCAAATTGAGGCGTTGATTAGAAGTAAATCCTATCGTGACGTCCCTCCATTTGCTTGTCAAATCAGAGTTCGAAACCTCGGGCTGGGCTAGAATCTTTCTGCACAGCAGGATGCATGGAAACAACTGCAAGCATGGTGAATGATGGGCAATGATGGGCTCCCAGCAACAGTTTTTAGGCCCATCAAGTTGGTCCTTTCAGCAAGCCCGGGGTATCTACTGGTTCCATTGTGACAACATTCCCATCAAACCATTTTTGCGACTATGCAAAATTTCTGTCTTTGTCCAGGGGAAAAAGGAATTTCGGACTTTTTGAAGGAAACACAATTTTCACAGAAGCCAGTTTTACAACAATAAAGCGTCTTACACCACTGAACACAATTTGGGGAACAGTAGCCTTTTGGATCGTCGCTTTTTAGTCAAGAAACGTCGGATGTTTACAAGGCGGCTTTACAAATTTTGGAGAAGTAACGCAAAAACAAACAAAAAACGCATGTGGCAGAGCAAAAGCCGCCTTTGGACCTTCAAAAAGGCGCACTTCTTTGCTGAAGAAAGGACAGGCAAAGCAGCAATCACAAAACATTGAATTTTGGTAGTGAAAAACGATCGAAAAATAGTGCCAGAATTACGTAATTTCTACGACGCCTTTTTACGCAAAATTACGCCTTTTTACGCCCTTTCACGGGTCGAACTACGGGTCCACGTACGTAGGCATTTCGCATGTTCTACGTAATTGGCAAGTCTCTTGCAAGGTGCAACATATTTTGTACTTGTTTGTTGGAATCATGCCGCCAGAAAAGCTTATCCTAGATGTGCAAATCCGAATAGAAAAGCATATGTTTATGAAAAGATGACTAGACATGCAAGAAAACTGGCGGAACCAAGGAAAAGTCTGCATTTTGATGCAGTGTTTTTGACATTACGTACAAGTTGCTCAAAATTGCACTCAAATGTTGCAAGATTTTCCCGGGCACACATCTTGTTATTTTTTTGCAGGTTTTTGGCTCCAGAAATTGCAAATACGATCCAAGAGGGTATAGATAGATACGTCCAAATTTCAAAGTTTGTGCATTTTTCTTGATATATAGTATGATTTGCAATCTATGAACTGTTTTCTGAAATCATCTCTGAAATCTAGATACTATTTAGTATGAAACCTTGAGAGTTGCTACTCTCTAGCTCCAGAACGCTCGGTTGACAGACCAGGATCATCATTTGTCGGTTTGAGCAACAACGCGTTTCTTTTTTGCAATTTAGGTTGAAAAAAGTAAACATCCTTGAATCTGTTTCCCTCTGGCAGGGAGTTTTCCGACTCAATGACGATTTTATTTGAGGCACCGGAAGCACATCAGGCTCAATTTCTTCCTAACAGAGTTGCAGCGAACAATGTCCGCTCTAGGAAGATAGTCTGCCATGAGCAAACCACAGGGATGGGACGCAAACAACGGTACAAATGGCTTCAAAAAAAAACGATTTTGACATTTCCACTTTACACCCCTTTGGGCACTGAAATCCATAAATGCGGGTCTTTAATTCAAAAACCAGGTTTTAGTCAAAGACCCTAACAAATGAGGTCCTGGGAGGGCTAGGTATATATATACGTAATAAAAATATATATGTAAATATATATATATGCAAAATATATATATATATATATGTAAAATATATAAATATATATATATATATATGTAAATAAATATATATATATATACATCATGCAATATCTAAAAGGCAATGAAGGTTTGGCCAAACTACAAAAAATAGTTGACACTTTGCAAAAAATGATGATTTAGGCAAAAATTGCCGATTGGGCCATCTCCTTAAAATATCCCAAGAGAACAACCAATTTTTCCACGCTCCCCAAAGATCAAATGCAAAGCTGAAAGACAAGAATCGCTACGCATGCCAGCCTGCCTATTTAAGAAGTTCTAGAACATACAGCCCCCATTGCAAATACGTATAAATACGTGTTTTCAAATTTAGTTTGTCTTTGGCTGAATAGTTGTCTGCCTCAAACGCAAGGAGACTTAAAAGAGGTCATGTGGAGTCATGTGTGGTTGTGTTGGTCATGTAAGGTTTGTAGAAAAAACATATAGTCGAACACGGAACGCTAAAAATCGCCGTTTGGGCGCTAAAAATCGTCGTTTGAACGCTAAAAATCGACGTTTGGACGGCAAAAAAAACCGTTTCGTTTTCAACACCTTTGGCTTCACCTCTACTTGTATATAGTGTCTTTAATTTCCGTGGAAGCCTTGCAAACTGACTTGTACTGAAGACTGTACACTCTGCATTAGCAAATCATAAAGTGCTGTATGCCAAAAAAAGGGAAGGTGAAGGCACTGGTCGCATGCAAAAAGCACAACTCAGCGAATGATTGCGCCCCTACCTGCTCAAAGACGCACCAAATTTATCCAAATTCGCCAAACTTTATGCCGTTTTGTCAGAAAGCATTGATTTTCACAAAAAAAAAAAAGATCGATGGTGCCGGTATATATTTAATGTAATTATATTTACATTTATCCGAAAACGGACACACATAGCACAGGGCGCCAGTAAAAGTAGATCTTCGGAAGAAACAAAACCGCTGCCCACAGTATGTATGAAGACGTGACAAGGGAACTTTTGTGCGAGCCGGCGCAGTCAACACCTGTGCAAACCAGAATGTGAACCCTGAACGAACCCGGGCTTTACGTGGAACACTGTTTGGGGAACAAAGATGGTGTCTGTCTCACGTGTGTGCTGTGAGATACAGTTGAAAAAGGTTGGGGTTAATTTTGGGTTTGATACTCAACTTTGGTCAAGCTTTTACCCACCCAACCATGTGAGAACAAGGACTTTGGAAGCTTGCCCCATCATGATTGACGCGCCTGCCTTAAGGGACACAGGCCTTTTACCAAGCCACCAGCACCATGCGGTGGAGAAAGCATAACTGTTTGATGCGTTTGCTGCATGTCAAACAGCTGGTTCAAGGTATATAACAACCAGAGTTGGACAGAAAACATCGGAGGAAACTTCTCAGCAACAAAGCAGGAAAACATGTCGTGAAAATCGCAGCAACAAAAGAACAGGAGAACAGCACCAAACCCATGGCAGTGTGCGGATGGTATGGAAATTGATGGAAACTGTGACGAATGTCATCTGAAGTGCAAGATGTTATGCTGAAAGTATCTGAAAATCGTGAGTTTTCCTCCCTGTTCGAGGAGCTGTTGTGATGACGGGTGATGGTGCTTCCGATGCACTTGGCTGCGGTTGCGGCTCTATCAGTGGGACTGACTCTCCAATGCGTTGCGTAGTGCTTGGCGGCACATTCCTATTAGGATCGAAATCAGCTAGCAAGGAATGGAAATAAATGAACACCCAAGTCATAATCATCCATATTGTCCATGTGTATATATTATATGGGTAAAGTGTAAATGTTTGCCAACATCTTCCTCGAAATCACTTACATGTCATTACATTTCGGTTAAATCCAACTTCTAGCTGGTTCAACCACCAGTCTTGTAGGTTCCAGACCCGTTTGTGTTGCCAAAATCTACCACCACGGAGCTGTCCTGACCACTGGCACATGAACATCTTGTTCCGCTGCAGGGGCCGGGTCCATTCGTTGAGGAGAGATTGCTGGCACGTTCCTGCCAAGCAGTTACTGGTGGCTGAGCCACCCAGCATCCAAAAATATGAATTTTTTTGGGCCATTGGAGATCTTTGTCCCAAAGAGTGGGACACACCAATAAAGTAACTGAAGCCACCAAGCAGCACAGGAAATTGCATTATCAAAGAAGTGCTGGGTTGGCAGTGCCATCCATGCTGTGACGGGATAAAGAAAGGCTGGGCCAATGTTTCAACGCATGCAACGAGGTCAAACGATTTTTTTCACCTTCAATTGTGGGGGTATCGGGTCAACTCCTTCAAACAAGTCTGGGAGATCCAATATGTTCCAGAGTGGGGTTCCACACTTGTCCGTAAGCTATGGTCAAGGGTCTGGGAGTACAACATACAATATGTTCTGAACATGCAAGGTATGGAATCCACCAGACATGTAAATAATATACAAAAAGAAACCCAAGGAAATCCATAGGGTTTTCATGTTTTTTTTGCATGTTTACCGGAAGGTACAGTAAACCAGCCAGAACACTTCTCAACATGTATGATGTAATGACATACCGAAATCGTCCCTGCATATCAGGCTGTCCTGACAAGTGGCACCTGAACATCTCCTGCAGGTGAAGCAGCTGCGACCCCGATGCGTTGGGGAGAACTTGGCGGCAAGTTCCTGCAACCGATTGGCACAAGAACAGGAAATCACCAACCAACATGTGCAATCCCGAGAACGATCCCTTCCCTTGATATTAAACACCACCCGAAACCATGGTTTGGTGAATATTTCCACTTGTTTGTGACCATGTAGGGGGTGTTTAACAGTAGGGGGATGGGATTACTGATGTGTATGTGTGTGTGTTGCACACGTGCAGTTTTTTCAAGTTATAACTGATAACTTATAACTTTATACCTCTAAAGGGCCTAAAACTGAGTTGTGGCAAAATGCGTGGCCCGCTTGAACAACAAATTTTATTGGACCGTGCCATCACACTCAGAGAAACTTCGAATCCTTCCAAACCAATCGCTGCAGTTTTTGAATTTTGGATCTATATCGCATTGGCAAATGATGGCCACATGCCGCCCCGGATCGCCCTGGTGATAGTTAGTCTTGGATGTGGATTCCCCTAATATTGAAGTAGTGACCCATTTTCAAATCATGGCATCTGTTCATCTTTGCCCATGACTGGTCCTCACGATAGGCACGTGCGATTCTGGTTCAGTCAGTCTTGGTGGGGAATCCACCCGTGGGACCGACACCCCAATCCGTTGGAGAGAGCTCGGTGGTAGGTTCCTGCGATTGCCATATATGTGGGCTTGTCCGAAAGCCCAAAATTTGGAGGCCATGTCAACAGGGAAAATGTTGAACCAGTAGATTTTGGAGTTTTCACATGCACAGGAAAACTTCGGCTGGCCTGATGGGGGCGTTTCTCACATATTGATCAGGGACATCAGGTTCCAATCCAGAAAAAACCTATGTGGTTAAATCACTGCGGTGATTGAGTTACGCAGTCAAGACATTACATACGCTTGGGGGTATAGTTCAAATAGGAACCAACAATACTTTGCTGCCTTAAGGGGGATAAAACAAAAATACACCACTTAAGGGGGTTAAAACAATAATACACCACTCGTTTGGGAATGATGTAGGTATAAAACTACCACCTAGTTATATCTAATTAGTGTGATGACTGGGGGATGGTTTATGGCATTGTTTTACCCACATTAATCAGGTATTAATCAGTATTAGCCACTATTAATCACTATGATATATGTTCACTTTACGGGCTATATGTATATATATATATATATGTTCAAGTATTGTGAAACAAATTTGGTTGGAATCAGCACGGTGGTTGGAATCAACATGGAGGATCTTGAGGCTGAGCCGTGCACTGACCTGTCCTCACAACCGGTGCATGTGATGCCGGTTCGCTAGGTCTCGGCGGCGCTTCCACCCGTGGCATGTTCCTGCACCAAATGGGACTGAAAACGTGGATTTGCCTCAATTTGTGGCCACTTTAGTAGGAAAAAACAAGATTAACTGATTAACCAACAGATTCAGGCAGAGCTTTGGCTTTGGAGAGATCGTGCCCCGGACCCCAAAGGTGAAGTGTTTATTACTGGTTGACGTTCACCCATCTAACTAGGTTATTCTTTCACCACCAAACAAACATGCAGTTCATTCAGCACAACGACATTTCAGATGTTTGACTTCAAAGATACAAATTGCTCATTTTTGACCTGGTTGAGCATATGTAGTCTGGGCAAGAGCAAAAGCTTGACAACTGTTGCGACAAACACTTTTGCGCAACGATTGAAAAGCTAAACCGAAGTAAATATTAAAAGAGATACATTCCTCGTAAAATAACCTGAGATCCAAGTGGAGATATCATTTCAGCTTACACTTTCGAACAAAAACAATCCAGGAATTCCTGGCACTGAAGAATTTGACCATGGACAACAAATCTAGAGCCGAGCATGTGTCATGGAAGTATCAAAAACTTGCGACCTATAAATATGGGGCAAGCTAGTGTTTCATTAACCCAAACATGTATATAGCACAAGTTAAACAAAACAATTCTGAACAGGCTCATAACTTTGGAGCGTTTCCAGCTAGAAACACCGTCATCTTTCCGTGAAGTCACCCAGTTATAGGTCACGAGAATTTTTTCCAGAAATCCGTTGATGACCGGCACTTGGATGATTCTTCAAGTAATGAACGCTGTGTAAATAGTCAGGGCAACATAATTCTTTACTGAACATCGGTATACTGCTTGTCAAGGCCATTTGAATTTGTCTGAAAATAGGCTACCCCGAAATCCCATGGCTTGTCGATTGAGATTATCATATCCCCATATGTGCCCACTAAATTTGCTGTGTTCCATCGCTTGGGTGCATACTAAATCTTTTACTAAATTATGACTTATTGGTTATCAAGGTTACAACCCACTTGAGTGTGTCTGAAACATTGGCTAATTCCCCTCAATTCTTCAAAAACCGTGAAAGGGTTTATATAAATTCTATTTGGAGCCGGAAATGGAGCCAGCCTCCCTTGCAACCAAATACCCGCCAAAAAGAACTTTGCACAACCATGGCATGGTTGGGAATGCCAAGCAGGGGGGCAGGACCAACCCAGAGTCGAGCCACTACACGGTCACCAACCGTGCCAGCAACAGCTTCAGCCAGACACCAGCCAGGACTGTAGGTCATGGCGGAGTCAAACTCACGCAAGGAGCTGCGCAGAGGCAACCCTGCTCTTACATCTTCATATCTGACTGCTTGTGAAATACTACATTAGGAAGATGCTAAGAAATTAAGGGACCCACGACCGAATAATTGTACATATATACTGACATACATAAGGCCTTTCCGATAGGAAATTGAGGGACCCTGGCCATCGGCAACCAACATTCTTATATAACGCTCGCGCTGTATTCCTATACGGAATATGCTTATGGTTTTGCAGCCGATAAGGCGCCTTTGGGATTTGATTCTAGGGTCCTTGGTGATTTACATCTACCTCTGATTGTGTGATATATGTTTTCCAACATTTATTTCTTTATCTATTTTATCTATCAAGGTAGGTGGCCTTGGTATACATATAAATGTATACTAGCAAAATTTACCCCAAAGGAAAAACCATGTTGGGCTGGTTTCCCTTGGATGTTTCAAAATTAATTCTTATCCGCCATTCGATTGTCATGCCAAGAAGGGGATTGACAATTTGCCTCTCCATCCATTTACCCTTCTACTGTACTCGTGGAAGTACCAGTCAGAACAAACGATCACCAATTCGATCGTAGTTCAGATATGTTTTTTTTGGTTGAATACTTAAAAACAAATAAAATAAAATATTTTACGCGAAGGATTTGCGGCGGCGATGGATTTGGGGTCCTCCGAGCCAAAAGATCGGCAATTTTTCCCTAAATCTCAACATGACGGACCCCGAATCCATTGCGGGAAAAATCATAGTAGAATATACGGTTACCGTAATAATAAGGCTGCTTCCTAAGTCCACATGCAAATTTCTGCACCCTGACATCGGCAAAAAACACAGTTTCTTTTCCTAAATCCCAGGGTACAGCCTCTGTATTCCCTAAGTCTGAGTGCAGAAATCTGCACCTTGACTCAGGCCATACCCCACCAAGCACCTAGGATATCGTCAAAAACATATTCTGTTTGCCTAAGTCAAGGTGCAGATTTCTGCACCCTGAGTTCGGCAAAAAAAAATGTACATTGCATTTAAAGGATATATATGTAGACGCAGAAAAGATGGGGAAATTGAATACTTGAATAAAAGAGTGATCATCATGGACAATATTGGTGGCTTTATACCAAAGGTATATGTGGGCATCGCCCTAGAAGAAATATGAGTGTGATTGAAACAAATAGATATATTACATACCCTATAAAATAAAGGGATGATACCCATTCCATTTTAATCCAGCACTTGGTTGGGTACCCTATAAGGGAAATGGTAGTGGACCCCTGTTCATCCAAATAATATGATAGAAAACATATTCGTAATCGATACTGGGATGATATCAAATTAATCAACCAATTTGTTGCCTAAGAGTGAAAATAACAATGTACATATGACTATCCATGAACATGGTAGAAGACACATAGATACATGAAATAACCATGGTTACCTCATGGGGGAAATAATAAGGTACCTATAAGACAAGTCAATTCCACCATATGTATATATATATATATACATAATATTTGGAAAAACCCAAGAATCCATTTCCAGAGACCCCAGATCAATTGCAAAACCTTATGTATTGGTTATCAAGGGTTATAATTTACTTGAATTTGTCTGACAGTAGGCCCCATGGATCTTCAAGCGCTGAACAAGAACTGTCTGTTTAGGCTGTTCGCGCAACCGAAACACACGCACCCCAACACTGTGACACCACCCCAGGTCAGGACGTGGTGAACCAGCACACGCACCAAAGAAGAGGAAGGAGACAGAAAGAAGAGAAGGGACGAAGAAGACAGGGCGAAAAAGAAGAAGGAGAAGAAGAAGAAAGAAGCAGAAGCAGAAGAGGAAGGGACGTGGCCAGCAACACACGCACCCCGACAGTGGGACACCACCCCAGGTAAGGACGTGGTAAACCAGCACACGCACCCCAAGAAGAGGAGGGAGACAGAAGGAGACAGGACAAAGAAGAAGAAAAAGAAGAAGAAGCGGCAGAAAGGGAAAGGGACGTGGCCAGCAACACACGCACCCCGACAGTGGGACACCACCCCAGGTAAGGACGTGGTAAACCAGCACACGCACCCCAAGAAGAGGAGGGAGACAGAAGGAGACAGGACAAAGAAAAAGAAAAAGAAGAAGAAGAAGAAGCGGCAGAAAGGGAAAGGGACGTGGCCAGCAACACACGCACCCCGACACTGGGACACCACCCCAGGTAAGGACGTGGTAAACGAGCACATGCACCCCAAGAAGAGGAGGGAGACAGAAGGAAGAAAGGACGACGAAGAAGACAGGGCGAAAAAGAAGAAGAAAGAAGAAAAAAGAAAGAAGAAAGAAGAAAGAAGAAAGAAGAAAGAAGAAGAAGAGGAAGGAACGCGGCCAGCAACACACGCACCCCGACACTGGGACACCACCCCAGGTAAGGACGTGGTAAACCAGCACACGCACCCCAAGAAGAGGAGGGAGACAGAAGGAAGAAAGGACGACGAAGAAGACGGGGAGAAAAAGAAGAAGAAAGAAGAAAGAAGAAGAAGAAGAAGAAGAAGAAGGAGAAGCAGAGGAAGAAGAAGAAAAGCCACTGCAGCTTGTGTGACCAACAGCATCCAGACTTTTCACAAGCAAATCGTCATATCAAAGTGATTTTATCCATCCCACCGTCCATGCACCTGTCTATCCAGTCACTTCTGAATTCATGCAACGCTGGCACGCAATCAGCGCATGTATGCATGAGAATCCAGAGGAAAGAAACAGAGACCGCGAGAAGAGGGGAAAAAAAGTAGAGCAATAGGCAAATATGTCTTTCTCAAATCATATGGCAGCGGGTGAGCCACAGATTATGTGAGCCTCAAATCAAATGGCAGCGGAAAAATGTTAGGATTATGTGAGCTTCACATGACAAGTGAAAGGGACCATACACAACTTTAAAGCCGAACATTTGTCAAAGGAGTACCGTGCTGGAACCACCGATTCAAGTCGACACTTTTACATAGATGACTCTTGGGGAATATTCGATTGAACCCCAAAACATGGAATAAAAGTTACGTAAACATCACAATTCTGTGTAGCTCTTATGTTTTCGTATTTTTCCCGCTACGGAACATAATCTTATAGTGAGGTCAACCAAACAACTCACGACAGCATT